CCTAACTTGGTTAGGTTCCCACCCTGTTTATCTCTACTTCACTGATTTTCCAACAGCTGGAGGTAGATAAAATATATCTTTATCAAAGCAGTTTAAGCAGTCACTCCTATGAAGTCTTAAAAACACACTTCTCTTCCCTCTTCTCAAAGGGAAAACGGGATGGAGAAGCCAAAGCTCTGCAAGGAGGCAATGCAAACAAGGGCGTGTGCAGCCTTCCTGAGTCAGTGGCATCAACCAGTGGACCTGGTCATGTCCATCAACAAATGATTACGGTGCGCTTCTTCAGTGCCACGCAGCACAGCTTTACTTCTCTTCCCATCTTCAAACTCCAGCCACTACTAAATGCAATTAAAATCAGTGACTATTTTTCCAAGAGTTTAAGGAAAACTTCCTCTTCCCACGATTCTGTGAGCCCTTAAAGTAAGTAAATCAGCTTTCTAGAAAACGTTATAGGTTTATCCCCAGGATAAGGAATATTTGATTTATGTGGCAATTTACTATCTAGTCCGTTTCTCTACTGGGCAGGTTTAATATGCAAAGGTATCTGTGAACATGTGTCCTGTCTGCATTACATCCCTACAAGATCAGAGAATCCCACAGTCCAAAGCAGACCCCTTTCTCTCACAAAGTCAAGACGAGGGGAAATTAGAAAATCCATTTTGGGGGACTCGCGCCGCGGCCGCGGAGACGTGAAGCCCCCTGGGTCCGCGCTCCACCTAGCTGTCCGCTCCCCCTCGCTGTCCGCTCCCCCGGCCCCCATGGAGAAGACGGAGCTGATCCAGAAGGCCAAGCTGGCCGAGCAGGCCGAGCGCTACGACGACATGGCCACCTGCATGAAGGCCGTGACGGAGCAGGGCGCCGAGCTGTCCAACGAGGAGCGCAACCTGCTCTCGGTGGCCTACAAGAACGTGGTCGGGGGCCGCCGGTCCGCCTGGAGGGTTATCTCCAGCATCGAGCAGAAGACCGACACCTCGGACAAGAAGTTGCAGCTGATCAAGGACTACCGGGAGAAAGTGGAGTCCGAGCTGAGGTCCATCTGCACCACGGTCCTGGAATTGTTGGATAAGTATTTAATAGCCAATGCAACTAATCCAGAGAGTAAGGTCTTCTATCTGAAAATGAAGGGAGATTACTTCCGGTACCTTGCTGAAGTTGCTTGTGGTGATGATCGGAAGCAAACGATAGATAATTCCCAAGGAGCTTACCAAGAGGCTTTCGATATAAGCAAGAAAGAGATGCAACCCACACACCCCATCCGGCTGGGGCTGGCTCTTAACTTTTCTGTGTTCTACTATGAGATCCTCAATAACCCGGAACTGGCCTGCACACTGGCTAAAACGGCTTTTGATGAGGCTATTGCAGAACTTGATACACTGAATGAAGACTCGTACAAAGACAGCACCCTCATTATGCAGCTGCTGAGAGACAACCTCACATTATGGACATCAGACAGTGCAGGAGAAGAATGTGATGCGGCAGAAGGGGCAGAAAACTAAGTGCATACAGGGTGTCATCTTTCTTCCCCTTGAAACCTTTTTACTCATCTCCATTCCTTATTCCATTTGGATTTCCTATAGCAAAGAAACCCATTCATGTGTATGGAATCAGCTGTTTATAGTCTTTTCACACTGCAGCTTTGGGAAAACTCCATTCCTTGATTTGTGTTTGTCTTAGCCTTCCTGGTGTGCAGTTACTGCTGTAGAAAAGTATTAATAGCTTCATTTCATACAAACATAAGTAACTTCCAAACACTTATGTAGAAGACTAAAAATGCATCTGGTATTTAAGTAATCTGAACCAGTTCTGCAAGTGACTGTGTTTTGTATTACTGTGAAGATATGAAAATGTAGCTAATTACAATTTAAAGAGTGTTCTACATAACTTCTTAATTTCTACATTCCCTCCCCTTACTCTTCTTCAGAGATTTCCTTTGAGTAAGCAACTTTTCCATCCTCTTAATGTATTCCTTTTTAGTAGGAATCCAGAAGTATTAGATTGAATGGAAAAGCATTTGACATTTTGGGGCTGGGGGGATCACAGATTAAAATGCCTCCTGTATCATATATATGTGATGGAGGACTTGTGTATCTGTGACAACAGGGAGTTTCCTTATTCATTCTTCATTTGCTGCTGTTTGAGTTGACAACTTCCCTTCCCAATAAAAACTCACTTACACCTCCTGCCTTTGTAGTTCTGGTATTCACTTTACTATGTAATAGAAGTAGCATGTTGCTGCCAGAATACAAGCATTGCTTTTGGCAAATTAAAGTGCATGTCATTTCTTAATACATTAGAAAGGGGGAAAAAGCACACAGTCCAGTCTAAAACATTAGTACTTTTCCATGCAGATTTGTGCACATGTGAGGGTGTCCAGTTTGTCTAGTGATTGTCATTTAGAGAGTTGGACCACTATTGTATGTTGCTAATCATTGACTGTAGTCCCAAAAAAGCCTTGTGAAAATGTTATGCCCTATGTAACATCAGAGTAACATAAAATTACATTTTATAAACCAAAAAAAAAAAAAAAAAGAAAAGAAAATCCATTTTGACCTTCCAGTCAAGAGAGATTCTCCAATTCAGTTTTACCAGTAATTAAATTAGTATTTAAAATCCTGTCACAAACCATTTCTCAATCGGTTTAGAACTTATACAGTGTAAATGATCACCAAGTCACAATACCAACCAGAAAATATGGGAGTCTGGATTAAGATAATTAAGAGATTAAACAAAATGAAATTAAAAGAACAAAAAATCAAACATGCACATGCACAAACTACTCTTCCTTTACCATGTCAACTAGACAGCTAGAGGTACCAGGAATTATGAGACTCAGTTTTCCTGTTATCACAGAGGGTAGGTAGTTTGGTAGCTCAGAATCACAAAAATAATGTAATCTCTATAGGCCCTACCCATCCTTCCCACAAAATGTCAGCCAGAAATTACGATCTTCTCAATCTAATAATGGCTTCCCTTGTGGCTCAGCCGGTAAAGAACCTGCCTGCAATGTGGAAGACCCAGGTTAGATCCCTGGGTTGGGAAGATCCCCCGGAAAAGGGAAAGGCTACCCACTCCAGTATTCTGGCCTGGAGCATTTCATGAACTATACAGTCTATAAAGAGTCACAAAGAGTCGGACATGACTGAGCGACTGTCACCTTCACTTTCAATCTAATAAACAGCAACAAAGAATCAAGTAAAATTTTTAAATTTTATAAACCTAAGGCCCCCAAAATGAAGCTTATAGAACATACCAAAAAATACTATATATAAACTTAATATCCTCTCCTGCCCTTTTGTAGATACTACAATCCTTTTATGATCATCTGTTTTCACCTTCCTCCCATACCTAAAAATATTCAAAAGTATTTGGAAATCTCAAAAAAGAGGCCTAGGGTCCTCAAAAAATTTAAGAACATTTTCTACAATGATCTTTAATAAGTCACCTTCTTCTTCAATAAAAGAGCATAATCTATCCCGTCTATCATTATTTCTGATAGTGGCACCGGAAAACACCCCTACAGGAGGCCTAAGATCAACTTCTGACATCCAAAACACAAACTTTCCTACATTTTTATTTTCTATTTGACTATTTTCTTGGGATTCTAATATCTAAAAGTATTTCCTTAAATTATACCATCCACCAAATCATCGCTAAATCATTTGCTTTTAATGAACTTGCTGAAGTATTGATACCTATTTCAGTACTTCTGTAGCCATATTAACTAAATCGTTTTTTCAACAAATCAAACCTCCTCTTTCCATGTAACATTCTGTTAGTGTTTTATCCTTCTTATATCTTTGTTAGTTGTTGAGTTCCGAAGCTGTGAGGAAATCTATGCAGATAAGGGAAATATTTTTCTTCACTGCCTATATTTATTCTGTCCCATATTCTCTGAGGTTTCTATTCATTCTTTTTTTCTCTTGGCTGCCTGGCATTTGGAACTTCCTTGACCAGGGGGACCAGGAATCAAACTCTGCCCTGAGAAGTGGACTATTAACCACTTCCCACCAGGGAAGTCCTATTTATTATTTATATATATATATATATATTTTTTTTTTTTCTATCTATTCTTATTACTGTTGGTATATCCAATCCCACAGTGTTTCTCCCAATTCTACTTTTTTCTAGCTGTCCACACATTCAATCGGAGAAGGCAATGGCACCCCACTCCAGTACCATTGCCTGGAAAAATCCCATGGACAGAGGAGCCTGGTGGGCTGCAGTCCATGGGGTCGCTAAGAGTCGGACACAACTGAGCGACTTCACTTTCATGCACTGGAGAAGGAAATGGCAACCCACTCCAGTGTTCTTGCCTGGAGAATCCCAGGGACGGGGGAGCCTGGTGGGCTGCCGTCTATGGGGTCGCACAGAGTCGGACACGACTGAAGTGACTTAGCAGCAGCAGCAGCATACATTCAATCTCCTGGAACCAATATGATAGCTTTGATGTCCAACCTTCAAATATTTCTTCAACTGTCAGTTCCTATAAAAACTACCATTCCATAAATATTCCAAACATTATCAGTTAACCACAACTATGCTCTAACCTCAATCAATCTCTAATATGAAAACAGGTCCATTTCATCCTACAGATAAGTAAATCCAAACACCACAGTCAGAAGAAAAAATATTGCATACAGAATGTCTGGCATTTCATACATTTTAAAGCATTTATTAGTTTATCTAACAAAATTAAAACAGTGACCCTAGGTTTTAGGTAAGAAAAATGATAAATTCTCTAATATGAAAAGCTATCATAAATAAATATCATTTATTCCTTTCAGAATTGCAACTCAATACATACCTCTGTAGAAAATTAGTTTCTTCTGGATTTATCCAAGTAACAGAGAATGAATCAACATTATTTCATTATTATTAAAAAAAAAAAAAGACTAATACATGCCCTATAGACATCACTGACTCAGTATGCCAAAAGGTGAAAGATTTAACTAACTTGATCATTTGTTGAAATTTAAAACTTAGTAAGAGGCTGTAGTTACCTCTTTTTGGAGATGAAGTTTGAAGCAACTGTTTGGCTTTGAGGGAAGTACGAGGCAAATTTTTCAGCCTTTGCGAAGCTGTTGAAAAATAAGGAACTGTAATATTTGCCTGGAAGGACAAGATAAAGGCTATAGCTTCTGTAAACTTGAATATTTTAATACAAACTTGAAAATTTATCAAGAAACAGACAGGTGAGAATACATCAGGAACCTAAAATCAGAGGAATCAAAGTGATGCTTAGTGCATTAAGTTAGAAAAGAAAGGAAATGGAAATCTTAGTGCAAAGTGCATACTTTAAGAAATCGTTTCTTATAGATGAGAAAATCTATAACATGTAAACGGATCAAAATATCAGAGAAAACAAACCACCAGCAAACATGCTGCAGGACGCAAAGAATACAAAGCTAGTAAGTAAAAGTGATGAACACAAGCACACAGTACAGAAAAAAAACAAACGAATGTAGTGCTGGCTCAGTGCGAAAAAGCAGACTGGCAAAGCAGTTATTGTTAGATGAACCGTCCTGACATGAAACAGTAATCCTCACACTCAAAAAGGAGAAGAAAACTCAGAACCAGGCAGGTCCTCAAGGGAATCAACCATCTAGTTGCTTTAAATATATTCAACACCATCTTGGTGTGGAATTTAACTAACTGCATTTTAGACCTTGGGGAGCAACAGATCTGGACTATGTACATACGCATATGGGATGGTGAGGGGTAGGGATGTGTGTGCGTACATGTTGGGGTTGAGGGATCTGGAGGAGTAAGAGCATCTGTTTTTTAAGTGTTCAAGGAGGAGTTCTAAGCTTTCTTCACAACTCCTCATCTATTAACTGCGTAAAACTCTCAAAACTGACAACTAAGCAGCAGTTCAGAGGCATCCAGAGTTCAAGCTCACTATGGCTCCAATGAACGGGTGAGTCCCATAGCCACCAGTGCAGTCACCTATGTAAGTGGTTCTAAAACATCATCCTGTGATGCGAATATCAGACTTCATACACCTCTAGGATTTATAAACACCACTTCCACCTGCCCCAAAACAGAGATCTCAAACCATAAATCTGGCCAGCATTCAAACAGTCATTTGTGGACAAATGTATTACTTGATATATCACCAAAAAGAGTTAAGGAGAATTTTTCTTTATCTCTATTGCTTAATCCAATCAATGGGGATAGGATTTTCACTAATAGGAAACATTTTTAAAAAGTAACAAACCCATTTGATTTCAATTTCTACCAACACTTATTACAACACACTACTGCAACTAAATGCTGTATGCCAGTTTAAGTTCAATATATTGCCAGGCGGACTAGCAAAAAATTCTCCAAACTTAAAAAAAAAGAATCAATTTCATAATGCATTACTTCATATCTATCCCACAGAAATATCAGGCACTATCATTATTAAATATTCTTCATTTATATATTTATTCATATATGCTTTCTACCATTCATATTTTCATTCATTCACTCACCCATTCATTCTTACTTTCTTTCTAATAATTGTGTACTTTATTCCAGGTACTGTTTTAGAAATAATGAATACATAGCTGGCTGGACAGACAAAGTTCCTACTTCCACGGAACTAAGAGTTTAGGGAAGGGGAAACTGACAATAAACAAGGAGTAAAATACATGGCCTGCCAGATGGTGACAGCTGCTAAGGAGAAAATTAAGTAGGAAAGGGGGACAAGAACCACGAGACATAAGCTGCCATTATCAATAGCATGATTAAGAAATATTTCTCCTGAGACGACATTTGCCCAAAGATCTGAAGGAAGAGTGGAAGTGAGCCATACAGATATTGGGGGAATGCATCCTAGATGGAAGGAAAAGCAGTAGTAAGGACCTGAGGTAGGAGTGTGCCAGATACACATGAAGAACAGAAGTAGGCCACAGTGGTTGTAGTGGAGCAAATGAAGGCAAAGGGTAACCAACTGCACATACGCTGGCAATCCACAATATCTCTTAACCACTAAGACTTCTTAAACAAGGGTTTAAATATAAAATATCATCTATAGCCAATTGTTCTGGAAAGATCTTATTTAAATTAACAGCTATAATGACTCCAATGGACTTTATCCCTCAAGTTTCATGGGTGATGTCACAAGAACAGCTTCTACAGACAAGTGATGACTCTCCAATGGCAATTCAAAGAATCAGACTGCAAATAGGTTTAGGCAGTATACTCTAAATTTGCCTGATACAGATAGAATAAAACGAATGATTTTCATGATACCACAAAGAAACACAATGTTACATAAATAAGAACAAAAATTAAATTTTAATCTGAATTATCAATCTTAATTTGATCCATTTTCCAATGGCAAAATCACTTTTATTTCTTTATTTTGACCATGTGGCTTGTGGGATCCTAGTTCCCCTCTAGGGATCCAACTCATGCCTGCTGCAGTGGAAGCACAAAGTCCCAACCACTAGACTGCCAAGGAGTTCCCAAAATCACTTTTTAAATGATAAACTAAACTGGTCTCCAAATCCTTCTAGAACTTTAATCCACTCTTCACATTGCTATCAGATTCAATTTCTTAAGAAGGAACCCTGATTAAAAGCCTAGGGTAGCTTGTTAAGATGAAATCTAAACTCCTTAATATATTTTATTTACCTACTTATTTTTTGGCCGCACCACACAGCTTGTGGGATCTTAGTTTCCTGACCAGAACCCGTACTCTCAGCAATGAAAGCGCAGAGGCTTAACCACTGGAATGCCAGGGAATTCTGAATATGGTATTTTAAAATTCCCACAATCTATCCCCTACCTACATCTCTCATTCTTGTCACTGAACCCACTAACCGTCCTGTGACCCACAGTTTAGTCAAACAAAACCACTATAATCAGGGTGTCATTCTTAAGATTTCATTGCTGGTCCCACTGTTGGGAAAACCTATACTTTCTTCCCTCATGTGACACCTCCTCCAGAGCTGGCTGAGATATCTTTCAGTATCTTCCCAGAAAACCTCTTTATACTGATGAGTGTAATACCTCTGTTTCCCCATCACTTCCTGCTTTTGAAGGGCACAAGCTCTCTCTTTCACATTTATATTCCCAATGCCTAGAACATAACATATACCCTATAAACATCTTAATTATTTACTGAATAATTAGGTAATAATTAATAATCATCTCTGAATAAAATCTGGAGACTTCAATTAAATATTCAAGATCCTCCAGAGCTGAGATCCAATTCAGTGGTTCTTAAACTTAACTATGCCCCAGAGTCAGCTGAGACACTTCTAAAAAATAGAGATTCTGGATTCCCACTCCAGATGTATTCAATCACATCTCCATCACATTTCCAGAAGTAAAGGTCAGAAGAACTATACTTATTAGTATCAATGTCTTTGTGGTAACTGACTCAACATAATTATACTACTTACCCTTTAACAAAAGTTCCACAAGTATTTCACTCATTCTTATATTAGCACACTACACAGATTTATCATGACTTATTTTACTTCAACTTCATTTTTCATAATTATGTAAAATTCTAGTGTAACCTTTTCGTGTTTTGGTTACAAGTGAAATTTGGATGAGAATTCCTCCCCCATGGGCCTAAGTGCAGTCTGGCTATGCATAAGTTGGTAGCTGCCCTGGACACTCCCTCCTCAGTGTGAGGTCCACAGTACAATACTGATCCTATATATCTCTCCTCTAGGAGTACACTGTATCCTGTGCAAACATGTTCTTCCACTTAGTTACATGTAAGCAAGCAAATGATAAATGTTACACAGACTTAGTTTATTCTTTTGTGGTAGTTCACAAAGTATTTATAGTTCAACCTCAAATCATGCTCCAACAGAGTCATCCAAGAATATTTTCCAATGCCTTCTTATTTGCAGTTAGGGTCAGCATGATGTAATCCAAACAGTAACTGGGAGGAAATCGGGAGACACACAAGGGAGCTGAGAGTTCATCTGGCTTGGTTTTGCCAGTTTTCTAGTTACTTGGCATTGTACATATAATTTATATGGATCTCTGCTCCCTCTCTATAAAAATAAAAAATGGGATGTTGTGAGGTTCAAATGAGATAATACATATGAAAGTAAATATGTACTACTTTTTTAAAACCAGCAGATTGTCTTGGGTTTTTCTCCCTTCTCTTATTTCTGAACCAGAAATTCCTGTATTTTTCTGAAAATTAAGCCTTTTCACTAAACCTGTTTTCTAGTGGTCTTAGAAAACAAGCACTACACTAGTTTTTTGAAAAACTGTCCCTGACAAACATTCCTTCCTTTAACTGGAGAAACTGAAAAAATTACATGTATTCATGACCTTTGCAATGCTCTGGTTTTCTTAAACTTTTTAAGTTACTCACATTTTCCAAATGTAAAAGTCAAGAATTGGTAATAGCTATCAAAATGAAGTATATTAGGACTCTCATAATATTCATACTTGAATGCCAGCACCCACAATAATGCAGCCATAGCAAATAAGCATATAAAAATAGTGATTGCATAGTAACAAGGCAAAAGAAGTGGTCCCTTAGGTGGAAATAACAGCAATCTTGCAAAGTTAGGTTCATGCAGACCAGCAAGTAAGAACCAAAGCTTTACCACTTAAGAGCTGGAAAAATACTTAAAAGAAAACAAAATGCAGCAAATATATGAACTGGTTTGTAAAAAATATTTAAAATGCTATTCATGTATAAAACTTTCCATTGTAATATTTTTACATAATTACCATATTAGTCTTTTTATTTTGATATGTAACAGTACATCTAACACACACACTAATTAAAACACATATATATTACATATCAAAGATAATGTAAAATTTTCAGAAAAATAGGTTAACATTCTATTTTGCTTCATAATGTATTGACTTTACATACAAAGTTTTAACTTTTTTTCTTTTTTGGCTGCACCATGTAGCTTGTGGGATCTTAGATCCCCGACTAGGGACTGAACCCAGAGCCACAGCAGTGAAAGCGCCAGGTCCTAACCACTGGACTGCCAGGGAAGTCCAAGTTTTAAATATTTTTATCAAATAAACTTTATTAAATTTTAAACCTGCTAATATTCTGGATTTACTACTTTTCAAATACATCCTGTGAACAGTGTGACTCTATACTAAAATAAATGCTTCTGACATTTTCATCATAAACAAGCTTCACAACTACAAATATAAAAACAAACAAGTATATGCAATTTTTAAAAAAGGATGGTACCTTACTATTTCTTCTGCCTATACATTATTCAAATACTGAAATATACTACTATGAAACTGCATACATATATTCCACTTATAAGTAAATTAGTGATTAGACTCTCACTATGTTTCTTTATCTGTTTTTAATTATCAACTTCTGAGGGAAAAGAAAAAATAATTCACCTATAGGGAAAAAATTCTAGGGAATGAGCAGGTGATAAGCTACATAGCCTTTCAAAGCTTCAGTTTCCTAATTTGTAAAAATGTATTAGTAACTGAACCTACTTTATAGACTTGTTCAGAGGATTAAACAGAATTATGAATATAAGGGATAGCACAATGTGAGTTTTATAATATAAATAATATTATTTACAATTGGTAAATAAGGAAAACTTTTCAATATTATCACAAAAGTCATTTTGGTTCAAACTGAACCGAAATTTTTTCTAGACTGTGAATTAAGCCACCAAATAACAGCAGCTCAATATAAAGTACGCCAAGTCGGCAAACACAACAGAGCCAAGGAGGAGTGCAAGGGGACTTACAAAGACCTGAGCGCTGTCACGGCTGTTACTCAGCACACACGTTCCAAGTGGGCAGTCAGTAACTATGTGCTTACATCGCTTCATCACAGCTTTGAGGGAATGAGGGAGCAATCATAGTGACCACTTTAACCACCAACAGTAAATACGTTACAAAGGAACTGAATAAGTCAGACGACAAAACTGGGGTGAACTGTGGGACAGAAGGCATGCATACTGAGCATTTCTATGACTGCAGAGATAACTCTGATAGTTGTTTAAAACTGGGTTTAGTACATGCTCATATCTGCCTTAGTTAATAAGCAATACTTCTTGGAAAGTGTTCAATTCTTTTAAAACCACTCTATAAAGTATAGAGTGCCCATCTACTCCCGCATCACGTCTTGGCTCAGTCTGGCCGCTCTGTCTCAGGAGTCCCTTCTGTGTGATTCTCCAATCCTTGCTTATGCTGCATATGTCTCCTTAAATCAACAGTTTCAGCTTTTCTTTCCATCAAGTTACTTTCAACCTTTTTTTTTTTTTAAATAAAATTCTACCTTTGGTGAAGTATTTATTAAGAATTTATCAAGCCTTTATTTGTATATTTATAGGACAATTATTATTTTTATTAATATTCTAGTAAGAAAGCTCCTTGGGTTTTAAATGGTCTATTTCAGGACTATTCCATGTCCCCTGCCCCCAAATTCTGTCATTTTTAATGTTCAGTATTGCAGAACAGAAGGTTTTTAAAGAATATATATATATTTATAAATTAAACAGAACTTGCTTATTTCAAAATTCTAGAGACTACAGTTTCATACAGATTTAAGTATTGCTACAACTGTATATTTAATAGGGACAAATTTTAAATTTAATATAGCTATGATTATCTTACAAAACTAATAAGCATTACATTTTACTATAGTACAGCTATTCAGGACAAAATTAAGCTCTGTAATTTTCATTTTCTTTAAATAACTAATACATAAAAGATACTTACTGGCTGAAGCCTGAGGTTGCATGCGAGGTATACCTCCATTTGGCACTTGAAAATTTGAGTCACTTCTGCTGCTTTTCACTGAGTCAACTTGTGTATTAGATGTTCGGGACAGGTTTGGAAGACTGCGTCTTAGTTTTTCTATAACAATAGAATTTTAATTAAAAAAAAACAAGTCAAAACATTTTTTAGGATGGAGAAAATTAAAATATTAACATTCAAAAATCATTCTTTAAATGTTCTGCAGACTTTAGAAGAGCTAACAGGAAAAAAACACATCTTATAAAAAATAACTCAATACAGTTTCTATAAATGGGTAGAACCTTTAAAAAAGAAGCATAAATTACTTAACTCAAAATCTAAACACTTCATGACTTCATGAATATGGCAAAGCAAAACTAACCTAAGTAAAAACTCTTGATCTACTTATCTAAAATACAAAACCTCGGTAAAAACCTTGTTACTTTATACCAAAATATGAAGGACAATTTTTTTCCATTCTTATAGTTACCTTCATTTTTAACATTGGCTGTCTGTAAATCTGTTGGATGGCCTTGAAGTGAAAGGCGAGGTTGCTGTAAGCGGCTAATCATAGGCTGTGGGGACACTCTACTATATTCTATTCCCCGAGCAGGAGATCGAGAACGAGGTGAATTTCGGGGTGACTGCTTAGGTGATGGTCGAGGTGAATTGCGTGGTGATGGTGAAAACCTGTTAACAGCAGGGTATACTGCATGATGCATATTGTCATCTTCATCATCTAAACTTTGTGCATCAAGTTCCTGATCACTAAAAGTACCCCGTCTGGTAGAATTGCAAGATGAACCAGAACTGCGCCGAGACGCTGTGGCTGCATATTCTTGCCGGAGACCTGACAATAACGAACGTGTTATTTCTTTAGTTATTAAACATTTAAGTATTTTTAAGGTTTAAAAGCACAAGATTATCATTGAGAAACACGAATAGTATATAACATGTAAAGGAAAACTCCCTTTTACTTGATTCATCTTAGACTTCCCCACATACAAGGATGCATATACTACATCTAAAAAGCTATTTTTATATTACACGAAATTCATAAACTTTTACCCAATTTCAACATTTCTTCTTGAATCCAAAATCTATATTAAAAAGAAAACCATAAATTTAAAAATACTTGTATTCCAAAAGACGGGAGTCCAAATTTGAGATTAACATTAAAGGACTATTGAAAGAAAACAATTACCTGTCCAACCAGTGTAAAGAATACATCAGTGAGTAAATAAACACCCTGGATACTAAACCTTTGGATTAATCTTACTCCAGAAGATGATGAAGGAAACTTCTAACCCAGTCTTAGGAATTGAATACTTGGGCACAAATATAATTCCAATTGCTTCATAAGCTAATGGAGTTCAAAAAAATAAGCTTATATTCTAAACCATCAAGTAAGAATTTTCAAAGGAGTGCCTTTTTATCTTGATATCTCCAGGAACACCCAAGGAACCTAAGGAGCCCTTCGAATAGTATTAAAACTTCTAGAATAAAAACAAATGTGACACATATTCAATGAGAAAAAAATTACAATTGAAAAAGAGTGTCGCATTTAGATAGCATGTTGAGGAAATCCTGCTAACTATTGGCAGTTTAGTCCAGAAGATCTGTCTGTTTTTGAGTAGTATTCAAACTTTTTAAGTTATATAGTCATACACAGAAAGTGCTATCATCATGGTTCTCCAAAGAAGTGAAAGAGAATCATATCAGGGTACCTATAACGCTATGGTTTCCTAGGACACATCCAGCCCTTTGGTCAGGTTTGGAGACCATTGTAATAACTGACAAATTACTTGGTGTCACTTAGCAAAAGAGAACAGACCCATGAACAGAGTATTGTTTTAGAAAAGAAAATCCCAATCCTGATGCAAGTTCTCCACTAACAGGAAGTCTTATGGAGATCACAACCACTATACAGGCATTGTGCTTTTCTCATCTTAAAAATGAGGGAGCTGAACCAGGCAAAAGCCCACATCTGTTACTTTACAACTGTGTCAGCAAAAAGCTGGAGAAACAATGTTGCAAAAAGGAAAATCATTCTCTTAAAAAGAAAATGATGGTGGTTTCAAAGAGTATCACTCACATTTTCAGTATCACTTTTTTTTTAATTCATCAGAAAAAGAAATATTTATGCATGTGAATGGCTTAGAAAGGATTTTTAAAGAAAGGCTAAAATTTCTATTATGTGTTACCGACATACAATATGAAAACTATAGCAAATACGAGATTGAATTTCTAACAAAATATTGCAGTCTAAAAAGTCAGGGTTCAAAGAAGAAACAAGAAAGTTTAGTCTAAGTGACAGTTAGGCAGCATTCTTTATTCTTTTTTCACATCTGTGACAATAACCCCTCATTAGCTGACAATACCAAACTCAGAATGAGGAGTTTGTTAATACAAACTTACAGAAGAAAAGGGTAACATGTTATTGGTTTGTAGGGCTAAAGACAGAAAAGCACCAAACCTTTCTTTCTAAGGGAAGATGTGTAAAAATGGGATAAGAATTAGCAGAGTAAGAAACCAACATTCTGCAGTTTCTTAATGTTACTGCTTGATAGCACTTACATAAAAGAAAGGACATAAACAGAAAATTTCTGTACTAAATTATAGCACTGCTCCATTACCTCAGCCAACTGTCAAGACTCTGAAACCTGTGCTTTAAGGATCTTTTCACTGTAAAGCTTAAAGAGATCACTTTAGAGAGATTGCTTCCTTCAGTTAAGCCCATACAATAAAATGTACAGGCAAGAATACTACTATCATCATCCTATATTCAGATGAGAGCCAAGTCATTGATGAACACTTGAAATAGTAAAAATTTTGTGCACATGTGTACTTTGGGGACAACACTTCTATCAGATTCTTTTTTTTTTTTTCATTTATTTTTATTAGTTGGAGGCTAATTACTTTACAATATTGTAGTGGGTTTTGTCATACATTGACATGAATCAGCCATGGATTTACATGTATTCCCTATCCCAATCCCCCCTCCCACCTCCCTCTCCACCCGATTTATCAGATTCTTAAAGGTTCCTGTTACCCAAAAAGTTGCAAGGACCACTGTGCAAAACAACATCACATGCTTCATTTAACTTAATGTCGCAATTTCAATTTTCCCTTAAAGGTCTCTCTTTTTAAGCAGAATACACATATTCTAAGAAAGATGATATACTTGCCTCCAAGGAGAAAAAACTGATTTTGTGGGTGTGAAAAAAATCTTAGATATAATAGTTTGTGGTTCTTAGAGTACACACAAAGAGATGTAGACTATATCAGTGGTATTAAAATTTATTGGGAGCACAAATGGGTAAAAAGGGAAAAAAAATCTAAACAGGCTCCTTAGAGGCGGGTAATAATGAAAGAACAGCTGAGAAATGCTCATCCACACTAAGGAAGGAGCAATAGAGTAGTAACCACTGGATCACAGCAGAGAAACAAGCAGCGTGCGACTTCCCGGCACAGCAGAGCACAGCCTGCTTTTCCTTAGTACTCACACAGCAAACTGCTCAGCATACAATGGACTCTAAAAACAAGCCAATGAACAAACCAGTCCACATGCTCAAAAAGCCTCTGAAATGTCAACTTTTCTATTCTTATTATACTACTATTCCACAACACTATAAGACATTTAATAAGGGCAAAAAAATTATACCGTAATGAAAGACCTAAACTTTAACCATTAAAATACTTACTTTCTTCCTGCATCCGAGCTAGAATTTGCACATCAGTTACATCATTTAGCTTATAATTGGATCCAATTGAATCTTCATCTAATTCTGAAGCACTTAATTCACTGTCTATAGAGGATTGAGGACTGAGTGGAGGATTTCTGTCTGATGAACTTTTCAAATTACCTTAAAAAAGAAAATGATTCAAACTTTGGTGAACAAAAATTGAATAAACATCTGTTGCAATTAACTTGATATTATATCTTTGGACTGATTCAGTTCATTGTTATTCTGTCTTTTCTGTTTATAAAATTCCCAGATGTTAAAATTAAAAACTGACCTGATTAAGAATGAAGACAGCTATATACAATGACAAATACAAAACTCATTTTCTTATAGCTATAATTTATCCATATTCTTATGAAAAATTCGGTTTTCAAGACAGTAGTGGTAAAGTATTTAATGTTCAAATAACACATGCTAGAGGATTTCAACTTTTACCAGGTAGCCAGTGAAACTGCTCTATAAACAGATGAATTATGTAGTGTTCTCTCCTCCCATTTCATTAGCAAACACCATCATCTTTTCCCTTGAATAAAACCACCTACTTTTCCTAAACAAGAAAACTATAATTTGAGGAAAATCAGGATTCCTTAGAGATTGAGAACCAAACCAAAAAAAGAACACTAAGCTCATTTCTCCTACATTATGCCATGTTTACAAAATTCCTTTGCCAAACTAGTAATGGGGATCCAAGGAGTTCTCTGATGTTTAGTAGTGAAGCACAAAGACAGGATGAAGGAAATGACTGGATTAAAAAACACATTTTATCACTAGAAACCAAAGGAGGACAGAAGACAGCTCAGAGGAATAAAGGCTATACATATCCAAAAGAATCTTAATAGGTTGGTGAAAAAGTAATTGCAGTTTGTTTTTTGTTTTTGTTTTTTTTTTTTAGTAATTGCAGTTTGGGACTGTGAATTTTAAAGCATTATAACTAGGCTCAAACTCTTCTTTATTAATAAAAATAGGAACAATTACAATCAACACAGTTTTGCCAACAAGAAATAAGTTTGCTTATTCCTGTAGCATAAAAATCTGTGCTTTGGGGTTTGATGAACTCTTAGAAAGCATTTTCTGCCTCCTGCTGGTTGTGGAAACATTTCCCCTGCAAAAAGCTGTTGAGATGTTTGAAGAAGTGGTAGTTGGTGAGCGAGAGGTCAGGTAAATACAGTGGATGAGGTAAAACTGTAGCCCAATTCATTCAACTTTTGAAGCATTGCTTGTATGACATGTGGTGGGGTGTTGTCATGGAGAAGAACTGGACCCATTCTGTTGACCACCGGCTACAGGCGTTGTAGTTTTCAGTGCATCTCATCGATTTGCTGAGCATACTTATGAGGTGTAATGGCTTCGCAAGGATTCAAAAAGCTGTAATGGATCAGACAGGCAGCAGACCACCAAACAGTGACCACGACTTTCTCTGGTGCCAGTCTGGTTGCTGGCTGGCTGTCATATAAAATCCACTTTTTGTCGCACGTCACCGTCCAATCAAGAAATGGTTCATTGCTGTTATGTAGAATAAGAGAAGACAACACTTCAAAAGGATGAATTTTTTGATTTGTGGTCAGCTCATGAGGCACCCACTTATCATGCTTTTTCACCTTTCAATTTGCTTTGAAGGTCAATATTGAGTTCTTTGGCAACTTCTCATGTAGCTGTAAAGAGGATCAGCTTCAGTGACCCTCTCAATTGGTCACTGTCAACTTCCCGATGGCTGGCCACTCCACCCCTCATCTTCAAGGCTCTCATATCCTTTGCAAAATTTCTCTAACCACCACTGCTCTGTATGTTTGTTAGCAGTTCCTGGGCCAAACGCATTGCTGATGTTACGAGTTGTCCCTGCTGCCTTACAACCCCTTTTGAACTCGAATAAGAAAACTGCCTGAATTTGCTTTTTGTCAATCATCATTTCCATAGTCTAAAATAAATATAAAATACACAGCAATAAATAAGTCATTAGCCAAAAAAAAATAAAGCGAGAAATGTGCATTAAAATGATGTACAACATAACCACATTTATTAAGTATCTATTCCAATACTAAACAGCAAGTTCAACAATGCAAAACTGCAATTACTTTTGCACCAACCTAATAACTTCTTTCTAAGGAAATGCTTTCATCTGATGAACTTCCAATGAAGAACTGAAAAATCCCAACACTGTTATTAATATTTCTAATACAGATGTATTTGAAATTCTTGTTTCCTGAATTTTTCACCATAAGAGTCATCTCTAACATAAATGGCATATAAAAAGAGCAAGAACAACACAAAACATAGTTAATATTTATATTATCAAAAAGAGTATAGTGCACATAATAGGAAATGTACTACAAGGTCAGTCTCAAATAGTACCTGAATAAAATTTTTTGATTTTTTTTAAAAATATTAAACAAATATGGCAGATCAAACTTTTTAGTACAACAGTCATGGGTGAAATAAGTAGCAACTAACAACCTATGTACAGAGCAAAGAGTAGGATCAATAAGTGATGAAACTGGCAAATACACAGGTCAAAAGTCTGAGGTGATTAATACATTTTAAGGGAGCCATAATAATTAATCATAACAATAGCAGTAATAAGAGTAACTGATTGGGTGAAATCTAAAGATCAATAAGCTATACAATAACAGTCTCAGTCACAGAACCACGCAGAACATTCTTTCCTCAATTATAGCAATCTACCCCTTTCTTATACCCTTCATGGCTCTAAACACTCCCCTGGCACATTCATATACAGTCTAATACTATTATTAAAGTGCAATATCAAAGCTCATTAAAACTCCTATTTAACTGTAGGTTTTACAACCCAAGCAAGCATTTGTTAAGAGAATCAAACTTGTGACCTTATTTAATCAAGCCACATTAAAAAAATTTTACATACATGCTAAAGAAAACTGGACGTATCCTGGCTTATCCGTGTCCCCAGGGCCCAGTACAGCACTACCTGGTGCCAAGTAGCTCCTTGACAGTATCTTCTCTAGTCAGTTGGAGGTTTCATAAATAAAAGAACTTGAGCTACTGATGAATAAGTTATTTTCTGAGGCAGGGCAATAAGTTAAAAACTATTTCTTAATTACTTCAATTCATTTCTCCTTACCTGAATTTCCAGGAAGTATTAACTGTTTGACAATAGGAGGTCGCACTGGGGTTGAGGACGGAGAATTGAAACCACTACTGTATGGGCTACTGGCGTTTGGACTGTAAGGACTTGTATAACTGACGGAGTTGAAAGGATTATTATACAAATTCTGCCTCTTGAGAGCTGCATTAATGACAAGAAAAAAAATCAAATTGAACAAAAGGCTAGTAACATTTCAAAAAATTTCTTGTTAGGCAATTCAGTAATTATCTCAATTTAAATACAGAAACATTTGTACAGAGGGGGGAGGGGGTATATCACATTAATAATCCCAACAAAATATCTCCACTATCTTAAATTGTTATGCAAATAAAACAGGAGCCACATCAAACAAAAATATTGTAAGATGTTACAGAAAAACACATACAAACTTTTTGGCTAATCCAATAACACCACAGGAAGAACATCTCCTCAGTAAATTATTAACACTAAATTACTTCTGTCTTGTGGGGAAGTTTATTCCCACTGTATCAACCTTGTGAATATAAAAGCAATTTGTGTTTTCTCATTTTTTGAATACATATTGCTAATAACAACAAAAGACTATGAAATAATGAGTTTTAAACATAGCCTTTCCTAAGTTTTGGTTTTAGAAGAAATAAAACAATATTGACTATTTAGTGAAAGTGAAGTCACTCAGTCGTGTCCGACTCTTTGCCACCCCATGGACTGTAGCCTACCAGGCTCCTCCGTCCATGGGATTTTCCAGGCAAGAATATTGGAGTGGGTTGCCATTTCCTTCTCAGGAGATCTTCCCGACCCAAAGACTGAACCTGGGACTCCCACATTGTAGACAGGCACTTTACCATCTGAGCCACCAGGGAAGTCCATTGACTATTTAGGCCATACTAAAGTGAAACATGCAAGAATTCTTTTTTGAAAAGAAAAAAGTTCCCCCCACTCACATTTTCTGGGCCAAGGAGAATACTTCTGCTAGAAAAAGGTAAAACATCTGTGCTATGTGTATAAAATTATAAAAGTAGTATGAAAGATCTCAAGTGCAATTATATGTAAGAAAAATTAATACTTAAATTATTTTGGGGAGCACTTTCCTCGTGGTCCAGTGGTTAAGAAGTCACCTCGCAATGCAGGGTACACAGGTTTGATCCCTGGTCTGGGAAGATTCCACATGCTGCAGAGCAACTAAGCCCACACGCGGCAAATACCGAGCCCGCACACCACAGCGGGAGAACCTGTGTGTTGCACCGGAATTTCCCACACGATTCAGGGAAGAGTCCACACGGCGCAACTACCGAGCCCGCACACCACAGCGGGAGAACCTGTGTGTTGCACCGGAATTTCCCACACGATTCAGGGAAGAGCCGTGTGCTGCAACTGAGACCCAACGCAGCCAGCCAAATAAACACATACGTGAAAGTAATTTTTTCTTTCTTCCACTCTATTCTAAAATCTACCATTTATTCATGTTTATGACCATTACCAAGTACTATGTAAAATACATACACAGATGGTACTTTTTCTCAACAGGCCTATCACCAGGGAGAAAAAACAATGATTTCAAGGCAAAATGAAATGAGTACTATCAAAAAAGTGCAGAGGCTAATGGAAATGATGAGACAGGAGTAACTCATTACAGCCGACAGAAAGTGGGTAAGGCTTTTTGAAGAGGAGGCAGTGGAGCAGCCATGAACAGGTGAGCAGTCATGTGACAGGACACTAGGACTGAGCAAAGCACATGGTTTCATCTGCGTTTATAACAAAGGAAAGCTGTGTTCTAAAAATGCATACTGTGTCCAGGGAATAACAGTGAGTAATCCAGAAAGGCAAAGTACACGATGAGGGACAAAACAAGAAAAACCAGCTGGGGCCAAGTCACAGGAGGCCTGGAACGCCATGCTTAGGAGTTTGAAATGTGTTCAGTAGCAATGACAACACCATCAGGGACTTCTGAGCAAGAGTACTGTGACCTAATCAGCACAAGAAAAACCAATGGTGGAAATCTTAATGTTAAATAGATTAGACTGAACTAGTTAATAAAGGTGACCAAAAAAAGGAAGAAAGGGATGAATATTAAAAACTAGAAAGGATTACTAAAGGAAAAAAAAATAAGATGGTTCTGAACTTTCTGGTTTGCTTATAGGCAGAGCACTGGTTTTGAGAGGAGGCAAACATGTTTTCTGTTAAGTTGGATAGTACAGTAAGCTGGTGAATAGTATAGTTTTATACATATTCACCATGAGACAAGACACCATTAAATATACTGAGTATGTAGTACATAGCCTGATTTCAATTATCAACCTGAGGAGAAACAGAGGTGTTCGTTCCTTTCTCTTTACTCTGATTTCCTTTGAAGCATATTCTCTATTTGGTTCTTTATTTAATTACCAGCACTGCAAGTTCTCAACTCAAATTTTAACTTCCTTTTTCTTGAGAAATTTCAATCATAATCACAACATTAGTTAGTATCTATATTACCCAAGTCCTCATTTTTTATCTCTCTAAGCCTAAGTTTTCATGAGCTTCAGTCTCATATACACTGCCCACTTAATGTCTCTCCTGAAGGTATGGCAAATGTACCCCAAAACAAACTCATTCTTCTCTCATTTTCATTCTCAAAACTAATTCATGTCCAAATCCAAACTCATTCTTTTTGAGCTAAAACAAATTTTATGTCCGCGGTCCTTATCTCAGAACGGTAACAACATTCAATCTATCACACTAGCTGGAAACACAGAAATCAATGCCAATGCTTTCTTCTCCCCCATTTCCTCATATTTGGCTTATTCCTTTATCCTTTCACACCTTTTTGTCTCGACTATGACCCTTTCCCCCAACACACACTGCTCAGCTATCATCATCAACCCTCCTCAAAACCATCCTATGTCACTTTTGGCCTTCTCCACTCTAATATAGTCTGGGATGACAAAACATTCTAGAGATAAGAGGCAATGGCAATGTGAATGTACTTAATGCCACTGAACTGTACATTTAAAAATAGTTAAAGTGGGGTATTTTATGTTAAATAAGTCTTACCTCCAAAAAAAAAAAAAAAAGATGGGCAGAGAACAGAGAAGGGAGAACCTTAAAAGACTGAAAAGAAAACTGTAGGGAGTGTTTTAAGACAGGGTAAAGAAGATAATGCATTATCATTAAAAAATAAATAAATAAGAAAAGAATGTCTCAGGAACACATGGTAGTTCACTGAAGAGCAGCTGAGTGTGAAGGAGCAGAAACTGTTGTGCTGGAATACAATTACTAAGTTTCTAGGAGATGTGCCTTATCAAAAAATACATTTAAAAAACCATCTTCCCTCCAACCTGGGAAAAGAGAGGTTTAGGACTATAAGCTTCAAACCTGAAACAGCCAAATTACTTTTCCTTTAAATATATACAGTTATGGCTACTGCTCTGTGCACACAGCTATAAGATCTAAGCATTGTTAAGCAGATCCAGTACTTGATTACACCTAGTTTCAGCTCAAGAGTTACAGCTTCTCTTACAGGCTCCTACTATCTTTAGTAACTTTGTCATAATAAAGCAAAAAGCTATTCACTCCAATTGGTACTTCTGAAGTGTAACCGCTTTGGTTTTCTCCACTATGTCTATCCCATATATTATTTTCTTATAATAACCACTGCTTGTTACAAACTACACTTTACTATATGCCAGTTTAACTGTGTACGTTCCCCATGCCTCCCCTGACCACTTGCAGCTTACACCTTGAAAAAAAGAGCATGTACTTCAACAATAAAGTCAAAAAAAGTAATCTTAAGGACACAGCTGCCAAGTAAACACAAAGCAAAAACCAAAAACCTATTCCAAATTAGTAATCATGCATCAATCTTTTACTACATGAGTTTTCCTGGAAACTATTACTTTTTTTAGTCTTCTGTTTTTGTTTTTTTGGCCATGCCATGCGAATTGCGGGATCTTAGTTTCCTGAACGGGAACTGAACCCAGGCACCAGCAGTGAAAGCACTGAGTATTGATCACTGGACATCCAGGGAATTCCTGGAAACCGATATTCTTAACAGACTGACAGTAATTCCAAGAAAGAGTCAATAATATTTTTCCTATATTTCCAACACATCAGTATGCTACATTAAATGCCATAAATAGTGACACATATATTTTATTAGCTTTGTGAATGCTATTAAACAACAGGGCATAAAAGCAATTTAAACCCAAAATGCCAAATAAAAGACAAAGCAAACAAAAAGACGACAGGCAGGAATACATTTGCTAATCACTACCATGAGCCAGAAAAACATGCAAGGCTCTTTCATAAACATTATCATTTAATCCTTAAATAACACTTATAAGGTTTCATCATTCTTATAAGAAAACTGAGCTCAACAGAGTTAAGTAATTCGCAGGGTCACAAGCAACTAAGTGACAAAAGTGAAAAGGAGGTCTCTAAGGTTCTCCATCTGTATATTTCTATCACATCAGAATTTCCCTGAGGCTGGTGAGATGATTTCAGATACCAGACAAAACATTTTTTAAAATAATCATTTGTTTTAGCTTACATTAGGAAAAAAACTTGTCATAAAATCCATTATTTCACAGATATTTTTATCATGAAGCTAAATAAATAGTAAGAGATTAAAAACAAAAAAAAAAGAATTCATTAAGTAAATAACACAACAGGGTTATGTGCATATGGCAAAACCTCACAACAGCATGCACAATGTGATCTGGAAAACACCACCAAGCAAGGAACTGCCTTCCTAAAAATAAACCATTCAACATTTATCTGTTTTTTGATTAAAGAAAGCAAAGGGGGTGAATTTACAAGTAAAATCATAGACATACCTGACATAGTTTGATCAAGTTTGTGGATAAGAGACTTTTTAGCACATTCAACATCAGGACTTGGGTAATCCAAAACTTGCCTGCACCAAACTAAAGGACTAACCGATTTCTGCATTGGTGTAAGTTTTTTCTTTGGTGATGAATATAGCCTAGGAGAAAACAAAAAAGACTAATGTTAGTTACTAAACATAAGGTTATAAAATAAGGGATCTTCTGAACAGATTTAAGTTGGGGGATGAGAAGTAAAAAATGATGGAGCATTTTTAAATCACCCACATCTACTTTCTGCACAGGAAGAAAACATTATAACCACCAATATAAACCCAAATCTCAACTATTAAGTGAACTCAAAGGAGGCCAACTGTCCAGTCCTAAAGTGTGTCTTATTTTTCTTTTACTCTCATTCAAAAACTATGAGGAAACATGTTTTTACAATAGTTTATTCTGTTTTCAGTAGTTCTTAACACCCTAACATAACCATATCATTAGGTCTTGTCTAGAAGGCAGATAAATATCTTGCTTTCCAATTCCCATTTCCCTTCCTACCACAAACCATATGAAAATTTATCAGTGGCAATTCATTCCTTTTACTTAAGCAGTAGCCCCTCTGTAGCCCTCTTTTCAAATGATGGTATGTTAGAAAAAAGCAATAATTAAAAAAATCCTTAATAACAATATGATCCAATATTCTAAATTACTTCAGTTTCAGTAAAGAAGAAAGAAGACATATTTTATAAGTTCCTGGAGAAGGTATATAAAAACAAAAAGGTGAGAAGACAGGAGACAGGTGTACTTTAATTTCCTAAGTAAGTAAGTGTTAGTTGCTCAGTCGTGCCCAACTCTTTGGGACCCCATGGACTGCAGCCCACCAGGCTCCTCTGTCCATGAGATTTTCCAAGCAAGGATACTGGAGTGGGTTGCCATTTCCATCTCCAGGGGATCTTCCTGACCCAGGGATTGAACCCGGGTCTCCTGCACTGCAGGCAGATTCTTTACCGACTGAGCTGCAAGAGAAGCCTACTTGATTTGTTCTTCCTCAGATGAATTCAGATCGTATCAACTGATGTTCATTTCAAATGTGACTCTACAGGAAAAATGTGAAGTTAATTGGACTCTAACCAGAGTGATTTCCAAATTAAGACACTTTAGGTGAAATCTATGATGTAAACAAAATTATTATACTTCTGATAGATGCGATGTAAAATCAGCTCCTTTCTTGGGTCCTACTGACACATGGAAGGTGGGGAAAGGGAGACAAAGGGCCCCATTTCCCACTGCTTCCTTATTTTGTTGATGCTGGATAGAGGTGGAAGTTTTGCTCCCTCACTGGGCCTCTATGATTTAATTTTAACAGAAAACAGGGTAATGAAGTAATACTTTTCAAGTTTTATCAACAAGTCAAAACTTGATAATCTCAACCTACTGTAAATGATATTAGCCATCAATAAATTGGCTGTGTCCATCAGAACGCAGTCCCTCTTGATTAAACTATGTATTATTATGTAAGAAATTCAAAAGCATCAGAGTGAAAAAAATGTTTTCAGTAGGCAGTTATTTTAAAGAAGTCTATGTGTTTATAAGAGATGAGCAAAGGAGATAATACGTATAATTACTGCAAGCACTTTTGTTTGAGTTTTCTTTAAAATTTAGGGTTAGGGAAACACTTGCTTTTGCTAAAGAGGCATTCAGTTACATGCTACATACAATACAGCTTGTGTGTCCTCTGGCAGCTTTAAAAGTACTGTGAAATGTCAACCAAAGGTTCCCTGACTGAAAAATAATTTGGAGCCAATATCATATGGGCCAAAGTGTTTTATTTTTAGGGATCATTTTAGTGATGGAACACTGAAATAAGAGAACAGTGGTAGAAGATATTTGGCACACACAGGATTATTGAATCAGTTTTCCCCTTTTCATCACTTGAGGAATAGATGGTTTGCTACATTACCTTTTATCTGTTAACAGAAGGCAAGAGCATTCTCTATTGCCAATAAGGGGATTAAATATAGGATCTGTAAGGAGAAAAGTAGTTTATACATGTAGGATCAGCAGGACTTGGTGACAATTGATGATGAGGGTAGGAAATAAAAAAGATGGAGGAATCCAAAATTGTTCTCCAGTTTTTAGCTTTTTGTGACTGAAAGTATTACAGTGCCACTAACAAAAACAGGAAAGCTACCATTCATGTGGTATAGGGGAGATCATGATGTTTTAATAGAGTATAAATTACTGATGCTTTATTCATTTAGTTTATAGTAGTTTCTGTATTTTTAAGATGCTAAAAGTACCTTACAACTTTAAAAAAAAGAACTTTTGCAAGATGTAATTTACATACCATAAAATCAACCTGTGTAATCTCTGTACCATAAAATCCACTGTAGAATTTGATAAACTTAGTATTTAGTTACTCCAACCACCATCACCATGTAATTTCAGAATTTATATCACCCTAAAAAGAAACCCCTTTTCTGTTTCTACCTCAAGCCCTAGGCATTAACTAATGTGCTTTCAGCTCCATGTCCTTTTCTAGACGTTTCATATAAATGAAATCATTCACTGTGTGTTTTGTGTGTATGGCTTCCTTCATGTGAATTACCAAAGTCTGAAAGAAAGAGTGAGCACTGCTACCAACACTAAGAAAATTGTAAGGAATATCACGAACAACTTTATGCCAACAAAAGAGGTATGACAGATAAATTTCTAGAAAGATACAAGTTATCAACTGGGACTCAAGAAAAAATTGCGACTCTGAAGAGACTATAAAAAGAAATTGAATTAATAATGAGGAATCTCCCTGCAAAGAAAGTCCAGTCCCAGATGCCTTCACCTATTAATTTTATCAATACTAAGGAAAAATGATGCCAATGCTATACAAAATCTTTCAGAAAACAGATCTAACAGTGAAAGACTGAATGCTTCTCTGAAGACTGGATGTACAGTATGAAGAAGGATGTACAGTATTATCATCTCTATCCAGTATGGTACTGGAGTATCTAGCCAGTGCAATATGGCAAGAAAAAGAAATTCAAGGCATCCATATGGGAAAGAAAAAGTAAAATTGTCTTTATTCACAGACAATATGATATTGTACATAAAAAATCCTTTGTAGAATCTACTGAAAGCAAATAAAATCAACTAGATTTAGCAAGGTCTTGGGATATAAAATCAACAGCTCTCCCTCCGCAAAAAATTGTACTTCTATGTACGGATGAAGAATTCAAACATGAAATAAACAATTCCATTCACAACAGCATCAAAAAGAATACTTAGGAATAAATTTAACAAATGAACTCCAAGAGTTGTACACTGAAAACAGTAAAACATTGCTGAGAGAAATTAAAGAAGCCTTAAATAAATGGGAGAGATGTACCATGTTCACAGATCTGAAGACTCAACATTAACATGTCAATTCTTCCAAACTGATCAACAGAATTAGGCGCTTCCCTGGTGGCTCAGATGGTAAAGCGTCTGCCTGCAGTGCAAGAGACCCGGGTTCGATCCCTGGGTCAGGAAGATCCCCTGGAGAAGGAAATGGCAACCCACTCCAGTACGCTTGCCTGGAAAATCCTATGGATGGAGAAGCCTGGTGGGCTACAGTCCATGGGGTCACAAAGAGTCGGACATGACTGAGCGGCTTCACTTCACTTCAAGAGAATTAATACAATCCCTAAAATATATCATCAGGCATTTTTATAGAAATGGACAGCCTGATTCTAAAAGTTACATGAAAATGTAAAGATACAGAATGGCCAAAAGGATTCTGAAAAAGAAAAGTCCTTTTTTTAAAAATTTCAAAATCTCTGATCTTGCTCCCTTCCAATTCATTCCATATACTGCAGGTGAACTGTTTTCTAAAATATGAGTCTGACTATTAATATTACTCTACTAAAAATTCTATGCCAGTTTTTTTAAATATATATTTATAGGCTGCACTGGGTCTTTTCTGCTGTGCATGTGCATTCTCTAGTTGCAATGAGTGGGAGTTTCTCTTTGCTGTGGTGCAGGGCTTCTCTTTGTGGTGGTTTCTCTTACTTTGGAGCACGGGTTCTAGGAGCATGGACTTCAGCAGTTGTGGCTCATGGGCTGAGTTGCTCTGCAGCATGCGGGATCCTCCTGGACCAGGTATCAAACCCATGTCCCCTGCACTGGCAGGCAGATTCCTAACCACTGGATCACCGGAGAGGTCACTATGCCAGTTTCCTTTTGCCTTATAGTCTTTTCTAAAACACAGATCCCATGACCCTTGAGACACAGCAATGATCTAACTGTTGCAGCACTTTTTTTTTTAAAGCTACATTCTCACCCTCTTCCATCACTCCAATCTAAATAACAGCCATATGGTACTAATTTCTAGTCTTGAAAGCCCAATACTTTTGCTTCTAGGTCATCTGTATATGCTGTATCCCTTGCTCAATTCCACTTTGGGCTTACCTTACCTTCCCCTTGTCCAACTTCAGCCAGCCCATTATTACTTTCTACTGAATCTCAGTTAAATGTCACTTCTTCAAGGGAAGCTTCCTTAAGTATCTGTCACAAGACTATATTAGGTGTCCCTCTATGTACTACATAGTGAAGAAAAGTGCTTTAACAAAGCATCTTTGCATCTACTTAGACATGTCCCACCAAAAAGAAAATTTCAACTCTAACCTTCTTTGAATTACAAGAAACTTACTTTATTCATTTTTGTCCTGTCTGAAGTTTCTGAGTTGGTATTTATAAGTTGAAGAGAGACCTGTAAAAAACTGTTAGCAGCAATAAAAGCACTAAACATGGATAAATCTCAGAAATACTAAACTAAGTTAAAGAAGTCAGCCACAAAAGACCACATACTGCATGATACCATTCATATGGAATGTCTAGAATAGGCAAATCTATGAGATGGAAAGTAGATTAGAGGTTGCCTAGGGATGGGAGAGAGGGTGGGGAAAGAGAAGTGGGTAGTGACTGCTAATACAAGAATTCTTTTGGGGATACTGAAAATATTCTAAACCAAGATTATGGCCATGGTTGTACTATTCTGTAAACATGCTGGAAATAACTCAATACTACAAACAGGTGAATTTTATGTAAATTCTGTCTTAGTAAAGGTATTAAAAAATCTGTTTGAAATAACTGGCCTTTCAAGATATTGCATTTTCCCTTAGAATAA